TGCGTGTGGGCATTCTACTGCTGGAGACCATCCTAGAGCCATATGCTGAGCAGTTTCTGGAGGAAAGAGGTGGATGAGGGTGCCATATAGGTGTGTAGGTGTGTGTTGGAAAGGATGTCTGGTACTGTAATTAGCCCTGCAATAATTAACGACCTCCAGCTTTCTCATATTTTATGTAATTTCCTCTTCTCTGGATCTCACCCAAAGTTATGTCTGAATATTTTTTTAAAGCAAGGGCTATTAGTTACAAGTAGTTACTGTATATAATGCTATGGCTGTCTGACAGAAAACAGTGGTTGGAGACAAAGTTATTGCAACTTTGTGTAATAAACATACAATCTTGTTGCCTTTGAAATGGTTGATTCAATGATAGAAACCAGGTCTGCGAGTGGTCAGTTGCTATCAGACTGATTTTAGCAATCTAAGGGCATAAGACAGAGTCAGACTCCTGTCTCTTTGTGATTGAATATACGAATTGCATTGCATGTGTTTCTGATTAACTGTGCTAAATTTTCAAAAATTCCTCCACATACAGTGACATAGTTGGTCAGTACCATCACCAGACACTGATTTTTGTGAGTCGTAAGGAAGTCGCTGTTGCATTTTTAATCTAGCGTGAGTCATCAAAGGAGATTTATAACATCATCTTGGGCAGTATTGATAAAATTATAGGTTTATGTTAGTTAACATATTATCAATGGCTTGCTGTAAATAGATGTTCAATATTTATTTAAATGGGTTTAATGGGTTTCAGCACGGTGACATGGTGGTTAGCACTGTTGCCGCACAGCAAGAAGGTCCTGAGTTCAATTCCACCATCAGGCCGGGGTCTTTCTGTGTGGAGTTTGCATGTGCTCCCCGTGTTTGCGTGGGTTCCCTCCGGGTACTCCGGCTTCCTCCCACTGTCCAAAGACATGCAGCTTGTGGGGACAGGTTAATTGGATAATCCAAATTGCCACTAGGTGTGAATGTGAGTGCGAATGGTTGTCTGTCCCTGTGTGTTGGCCCTGCGACAGACCGGCGACCTGTCCAGGGTGTACCCTGCCACTCGCCCTATGACAGCTGGGATAGGCTCCAGCGCCCCCCGCGACCCTGAAAAGGATAAGCGGAAGCGAATGGATGGATGGATGGTTTAGTTCCTCAAACTGTGTAGTATTTATGTTAGATTAGGGAACTGCATAGTGTGTTGCTGGACCGATCAGTCCTCATATTCTGCGAAAATACACACGCTCATATGCATGCCCTCAGTGTGAAACTAAATAGTTTTTTAAACCTTATTTAGTTAATTTCAGTATTATTTACTCGGATACATAACAGTACACATTTTTGTTCATCATGTAGTCAGAAATTCCCAGAATTTCTGCAAATTTGCTCATAAAAATCCAAAACCTTTTCTTTCACTTTCAGATTTTAATGTAAGTTATCTACCACACTGAGGTGACAGGAAACGTGTGCACACAGACAAACCATTTGACCTAAACAGCGTTAGTGTTTTGATACTCTTCCCCCAATCGCCTGCTTTGACAGGTTATACTCAGAGAATTGTTTGTTTGTTGAAGTTACAACTTCTTACTTAATTTCTTACATGTTCTCCATTTCTGTTAATCTAATGGCACCTTAACGTGTTGGCATCATGTCAGAATCAGCACCTTGGCCACTTTTCTGTGAAAGTGATTTATGTACTATTAGTAACTATTAGTCTCATTAAGTTAAAATACATTTCAGTGCAATCTGGGTGATACTGTAAATATTGTGCACTACACCGAGTACCCTGACTCTCCGTTTATCACTACTAAAAGTATGTTTGAGTAAAGCGAAATCGTACTTGAATGGTAGAATGTTAAATGTAATATCAACAGCTTTCCAAACAAATGGGGGTGGTTGAATTCTCATGGAGCCTTGTATACCCTTTTGCATCTTACTTGCAACTGCTCGTGGCAGCTGGCTGTCATCCCAGAGCATGTTTATGCCTCAGGTTTGTGTCCAGTGCAGCTCAATTTTTGTTCCGAAAAGTTTGCTTGACATGCTTAAGGACATACAAACAGGACAACTGAAAGAGTCAGCTAAAACAGTGTTTTCATTCCAATTTGTTTAGCTTGTAATGCATCAATGTATTTGTTGCCCACTGTCATTTTAAAGGAAAATTGTACTGCTTTCATTCTTAAAGGAACAATAATTTCCTTCCAAATATGGATTTAAACCACAAGTCCTAAACATTCACCATAAATTCATGGATAATAATGGTAATTATACAAATTCTGTCCTTGCTCAGCATAATATTGCAACTTTAAACCCTAAGTGTGTGGTTATGTACTGACTTTTTTGCCACTTTCAGTTTCTTTTACTGTCTAATTTTTGTCAGTTTCTCCATTTTCTTCCATGACTTTCATCTCTGCCTTTCTTCTGCATTCCTTGTGTTGTTCCTCCTTCTGCCACTCCTCCAATTTACCTTTTTTCACCTCATTCACATCCCCTAAATTCCTGTTCTCCTTTCCCGAGTTATATATTTATTCCTCTGTTGTCTTCTTTCATCTTCTTGCCCGTCTTTTGTTTCTAGTTTTCTCATTTTTCGTTTTCCCCAATCCTCCTTAACACCTCCTTGGTTTTACCAATTTGTTTTTCTCTCTCTTTCTTTTTTTTTACTACCACACACCCTCTTCCTCTCTGCCTTCCAGACGTTTTTTTCCTTGCCCATTTCTATCTTGCTCTCCATAACAGCAGCATCATTAGCATTTTCTAACCGAGCGGGCTAAATTGAAAATGCTAAACGAGTTTGTTTCTGTGGTAATTAGAGGTAACGAGGAACACAGGAAGTTAATGGAAATGACTTGCCTCGTTAAGAGGCGACTTCCTGTTGTACTGATTAAAGTTCCTATTTATAACAAACAATTCGAACACATAGGACAGGACCCTGGGGATATGAAAGAGAGAGGTGCATGTTTGTGTACAATATGTATTGCCGTTTAAATTGTGTGCGTTAGAATGATTGAGCTCACAGTGAGTGTTTGAGGGTGGAGGTGGAATAGGGGGTATTTTGCTGTGTGTTCTAAGTACCTACAGTCTGCACATATTGTACAGATTTACTCTATATAAAAATCATGGCATATTTTTGTCATGAGATGTACCAGAATACAAGAAGGAATAGACACTATGTCCGTGTGTGTGCATGTGTGGGTGTATGAGACTTTTATAACAAGCATAGCTAAAAATAAACTACAAAATAAACAGAAACATCTGTGGATATGAAAATATTTTAGATATATTTAGATCTCTGTGTGTTGTTGTACCCATGAGGCTATCTGAACAACAGCAAGAGTGAAATCCTGCGAGGAAAATTAGTATTTCAGATGCTCTTGAAGAAAGAAGCTTATAAAAGTCTGTGACGCGTGAGATCGCACCTGTCGGCTAACAGCTACTGTAGCTGGTTGCTCCTGGTCTCACAGCACCTCATCATGCAGGAATGGGACTGAGACCAAAAACCGTGCATTATTATGTGTGACCAACTATATGTCTTTTCAGAAATGGTCTGTCTTAGATAAAAGCTCACCAGTGCAAAAGCTTGTACTGGCTCAGCAACTGTAGGTGATAAAAAAGAAGCGAGTAAGGATTTCCCACAGAGATTCAGAGCAATCAACACTCACTGTACACTTCTATTAGTTACAACTTGCTAGTACTGGGCGAGACCTCTTTTCCCTTCAGAACGCTCTTAATTCTTTGACTCAGACATTCAATATTTTTCTGAGATTTTAATCCTTACTGCAACATCACCTTGCAGTTGCTGCAGATTTGTCAGCTACACATCCATGATACAAATCTCCCATTCCACCCCATCCCAGATCTTAATCTACT